GCCAAGGGAAGAAAGAGCTCTCTGGCCTGCTGCCAAGGCCAGACCCACAGCCCCAGGGAAGACACAGTGCCACCACTGAGACCGGGAGGTGGCAGGCCCAAGTCCAGCTTAAACCCAGCACTGCCTCCCGCGAGTAGTGTGACGGGAGCACACGAGCCTCGGTCTTCTCATCTGTACGATGGGGGCTGTTCCAGCACTGTGGGAGCGTTTCTGACATGACACATTCCCAGGTAAACGTTAAGGCCTCACGCAGCCCCCCACAAAGTCCCGCAGGCTCTACTCGGGGACTTAACCAGGTCTTGACAAACGCGATCTGGATGAGTAAACTGGCAGACGCAGCCAAGGAAGTCGTGGAAAAGAAAGGCAACGACGGGATAGCAGGACTTCAGATCGACTACAGAGGTGTAATTATTACCAAAGACACAGACCTTTGTTTTCACTAGAATTCAGGACACACAGCCTGTATGATCACAAGTTCCTGGGGAAGGGTCCTTCTGCACAAATGCTGGGAGAGAATCTCCATCTTATCAGGCTGCGTTTCCACACAGACACGTTCCCAGGGTACAGAATGCCCTTGTCCTGCCAAACCACTCCAGGAGCCTAGAAGCCAAGCTGCAACCCTGGGGCAACTGCCACCTGAACCTGCCCTGCTTGGGTCCTGCAGCCACTCCCTTCAAGGTGATGTCCAGCTCCACAGTGACCTCTCAGTCCCCGCCCACCCTGCCACCTCTCGGCGTAGTCTGTGTCCCGACTGGGGAGCCCTTCCCATTCTGTGCTGGAGCTCAGGAGCCCCTCCCTGCCGACACAGCTGCCCAGCACCCATCATCCCCACACTTGGAGACCGGGAGGTGGCAGGCCCAAGTCCAGCTCAGACCCCAGCGCCGCCTCCCGCGAGCTGTGCACACGTGCCTCTGTCTTCTCATCTGTATGATGGGGGCTGTTCTGGGCCTGGAGCAGGGCTGGGCACACAGCAGCACTAGGAGAGCATTTCTGACGTGACACATTCCCAGGCGCCTAGGCTCCTCAAGTGGTTTGGCAGGACAAGGGCCACCTCCTCAGCACCCCAGGACAACCGGCGCAGGCACCCCTCCCAGCCCCTTTCCACGTGAGTTGCTGGCTTTTCACCTAAGAGTCTGGGCCAGGCTGGGCCAGGAGCCCAGGAGGCCACAGGGTGTCCCCACCCTCAGGCCCTCCCAGCAGAACAGAGAGGGGGGCTCCTCCTACCTGGCAGGAGGAAGAGTGGGCCGCCATAATCACCCGCCCAGTGCCCGTCCTCAGCCTGCAGCCCTGCATAGAATGTCATGCCGTTCACAGCCCCCTCCTGTGCCGTGTGGGCTTTGGGCAAGTCCTTGAAGAAATTCTTCTGCAAAGGGAGAAAAAAAGCAAGAGCTGAGAGACCAGGTTAAAACAGGAAGCGGAATTACTTCAAAAGTTTCAGCTGTTTCAATCGAAAGGCTGACCCACCCTGATAAAGCTACGACCATCTTAGCAAAGTAAAGGGACACTTTCGTGCTAGCGTGGTTTCGCCTTCTACTCACGGATTTGCGCATTTCTTCACAGCTTCTCCAAGGAGTGTTTAATAAACCAGCCCAGTGCCCACAGAGCGTGGGGTGGGACACTGACGCCCACCCAGCCTGGGTCTCAGGCCTCTCTCGGAAGGGCTCAAGGGATGGCAGGGGGCTCCCCAGGGAGGGGATGTGATTAGGGCCAGGGTTTGGCAGGAAGACTCGTTTACACCAAACACCCTCTGACCAGCTGGGCCTCTTACATGACTGCACAGAATCTTCTCAAAAACAAAAAACGGATCATAAGTTCCTTTTCGTGAGTAAAAACAAAATTAGGAGCATTTTTGCAACTCTCCTATAAACCTAAAACCACTTCAAATTAAATAGTTAAAAACAAGATGAGAGCATTTTCTTACTCGTGCCTTAGCAATGAATGCATGGAAGCAAACGGACCACTCTGCTCACACTTCAACTCAGCCAGTTCCCACGGGAAACAGCCTTGGTTAGCCGAGGTGAAGCCACATGCCACACCTCTTTGTGGTCTCAGAAAATATTTTTAACAAAAAATATAAACGCCCATCACATCGAACTTCCCAAAGCTCCCTGCTGGTTCCTGGAGCCCCTGGCTGGGGAGCAGGGGTGCGGGAGCCGCCTGGCCACTTCCCAGACATGAAGCAGCGATGTAGCACTTACTGTGTCCAGTCCCAACAAGTGGGCTTCCAGGCCAGTCTGCGTTCGGCCAGGGTCTTCACCTTCTTGGGAGTATTTCCACCTCTGCCTTCCCTCTTCGCTGCTAAGGTGCCAGCGACTGAGGTCGGTGGCAGGTTCTGTTTTATAGGGTCCCCCTCTTCGGCGCAGACACCTGAGAACAACAGTGCTCAGGTAGGTAACCACCCTGCCTGTTCTTCACTAGATCAGAGCCCAGATGCAGGAATGAATGGGACCACAGGGCCCGGCCCTCCACTCTCCTGCTCATGTCCACCATGTGGCGAGGTGTTTCCCGGTGGGCAGCCTGGGCAGAAGCACAGGGAACAAGTCTGCCCTCTCTGCAAGTGCTGGGAACAGCAGGATTCGGGGACTCTGCCGCCATCACTCCCGGCCAATACTGAGTTCTATCCAGCACCACACCCCGAGCACCTTCAAGTCCAGTGGCTCGTGACCCTGAAGACAGCCCTGAGAGAGGCCCAGAGGAGAGATCACCACCTGCCCTATCAGGGGCTACTGAGGTGTGTAGCCCACCCTCCCCCCATACCAGTGCAGATGGTGCCCAGAGAAAACCCACCATCACACCAACTGGTCTCACGTGAACTCATGGCCACCGACCCCAGTGGGTCCTCAGCACCACCAGGAAGCCCGCCCCACGCCTCTCCACCTTCACCTGGCCTCTGTCTCCTTGGAATCACAGCCCCATACACCTGCTGCCAGCCTCCCTTGCTGTTACCATGGAGAGACACCACACCCGCGCCCCAGGTGGCAGCCCTCTGCCCGCTCAGGGACACCTCCCCTGGGTCCTTTTTATCACCATCTTTGTCTGCTTACTGTTTTACTCCCGACAGCTTACAAGTATGTGGTTATTTCTTTCATCTTACGAATAAAAACCCTCTCGAAGCCACTTTTGCCTTTAGCTACTGCCTGTTAGGGGAACAGTCTGCCTGTATGCCTCCCACAGGCTGCCTAAGTAAAGGCCTTGGGCCCAGAACGTTCTCTGATAAGGAGGCTGGGAATTGGGTCGTTCTCTCTCCCCCTCCCAGTTCCTTCCTCTTACTACAAAAACTTTCTCTGACTCTTGTTCATGCATGGGCACCACAGGCACCTGGCCAACCCTACTTGTATATGGGTTCCCTGTGGGGAGGAAACGGGGTCTCTCCAGTCTTCAGCACAAGAGGGGTGAATGTATCTGCTCAGCCGTGTGCAGGGGGCTGCTGGCTGTGGAAAAGCAGCACCCACTAGTGAAGCTGATCTTGCTGTCTCTTCTGTGTGAGGACACCGTTAGTCCACGCACAGTGGAGCGTCAGTGTGTCTTTCGTTGGCGACCTTGAACCCTGGTCCGCACTGCCCGTTTGTCGGCTCACTCCCCAGCAAATCTCTTTCGGCAGGTGGACACCTGTGTATCCAGCTCCTCCCTTCCCACTCCCGCCAGGCTGTCGTCACGGTCCCCACACCCAAATCTCAGAACACCCTCGGTCCGACCTCAGAGCACACAGACTGCCCCCTCGCTACCTCCACTCCCACCCCCCCACCCCGGCCAGGCACCAGGTCTCTCTGGTCACTGCAGCCTCTGCAGCGACCTCTAACTGCAATGACTCGGGTGTAACCTAAGGGGATCACGGCCCGGAGCAGCCCACAAGGGGCACAGGACGTCCTCCCGGACCCCGGCCTCCCTCCCTCGGCCAGCCGCCTAGACACCACTGCACAGACGCAAGCCGCGGACACCATGTGCGCACGCGCTGGCCCCCGCCCTGCAGTGAGAGACAAACTTCTCCGCGAGTCCGGGGTCCTCAGCCGACCGCGACCCCGCCGCGGAGTCTGGGTCCAGGGACCGGCGGTCTAGGGGTCCGAGGGATCCGGGGCCC